GAGCGCCGCGCACAGCGTGTCGCACACAACCAGGAGCGGGGGCACAGCATCATCCCCTCTGTAAAACTCCTCCGCAAGCAGAGCACACAGCTCCTGACACCGGCCCAGGTCAAACGCCACGGCCATGCCCATCGGGAACGCATGAGTCCTGGCCCACACAAACAGGTCGATCAACGAGGCGTCAGGTACCGAGAACCCCCCATAGAAAAGGAGGTGCCTCCACACAGAAAAAACCTTGTTGTCGTCATCATGCCAATCCCCCATCACGGAAACAGCGACACCCAGCCCCAGCAATTCAGGCACTGTCCACGCTCTGGGGAGTCCCGCAGGTCCCGTTATCAGGGCAGCCCCACGGAGCAAGCCCGGGGGAAGGGTGCAGGGAAAGGCCGGTACCTCTGCGGGAAACAAAGGGGGTCCGGACCCAAGGAGCCCGTGGGGTCCGGCGGGGGGCCCGGGGGTCTGGCGAATTCCTCGAAGGTACCGGAGCAGCACACACGGCGGGGCACCAGATGTCACCCTTGCGCCGGGAGTGACACAGGAACAGGTGAGAGGCAGAATTGCAGAAAGAACAAAGAAAGCTTTATTCAAGAGAACCGCGCGGTTTATGCAGAGTGATACCATACATTCTGTTTGATTGACTGCTTAACAAAAACACCTTTCTCACACACCGACCTTGAGAAAAACAGAAAGACGAAGTAGAAAACCACAACCTGTAGATTGTTTATACTAATAAGTTATCACATTCTTACAACTTCCTGAAAGTTCTCACAAGCCACGGTGAGAAATGCTTGCCATTTCTCTCTGTTCCATGGCATCCACAGGCACAGAAGAAAATCTAAAATTTTCATTGATGTTTTTCCAAGGGTGAGACTGGAGGTCCCATGTCTCCTCCGGCTCCTGTAGGAATGCTGGTGATGATTAACAAGGTAAAACTGGGCACTGGGTTCAAAAGTGCTGGGGATGTGAATGCCTGGGGAATGAATCACATCATTTTTTCCTTTGGGGACAAAAAGCTCAAAAGGTTCAGTCCTCTTTTTCAAGAACAGATATGATCTATTTTGTGCTTCCTGCTTCACTCAACACCTCCCTTCTCCTTGCAGCCCTGTCCTTGGGTGAGGCCTTGCATGCACCTGGGAACTTATCCAAGACCAAAAATTGTCTGTGTGTCCTGCACAAAAAGGATCCAGAGATCTTGTGAGGCAGATCTTCACTCTAAAAGCACTTTGGGGCTTCCCAGCCCTCTGGTGCCTGCCAGTTCCTGCCAGACCCCAGAGGAAAAGGGGACAGTGAGCCAGACCTGGGCACTGCAGCCCTTTTGGCCATGGGGAGGGCTGGTGTAGGAAAAGGGCTGCCAGGAAAGCACCTGCACCTCTGCATTGTGGGGGGCTCAGAACCTTCCATGGGGCCCCAGGGTGGGGAGCAGCTGGGGAGCAGTGGAGTAGCAGCAGGTCCTAGCAGGGGAAGGAATGCTCCAGGGGAGCAGCAGGTCCTTGGGAGGGGGACTGGAATGGGCTGGCAACAGCTTCTCTGAATGGGAGATTCAGGGAAAGTCAGCAGCTTCAGAACGCTGGGGAGGGCCCAGATCCCCGTGGGGCAGATCCTTTCGGAGACGGCAGACCCTGGGTGGGGGACAGCACATCCCCAGCAGGGTGACATCCCCTCGGGGCTGATCTCCCTGAAGGCGGCCCATGCCAGGGAGAGGGACCAGACGGGAGCAGATCCCACATGGGGTGAGGCCCTTTCCAGTGCGACGGGTGCCTGGGGCCTGGTGCCGGGGTGATGCT